AAATGCAAGAACATGTAAATGATATGGTATTATTATAATCGACCTCATATACAGATAGTGTATTAGATGAGAATAGAGAAGATACTGCTTCTTTGGTAAAAAAAGAACTGCTTTAAGTGCATTCAAGGGTAAATTCATGATTCTCATGCTTAAATATAATGATGTTTCAAAAATGAAAATTCATCAGCTCAAATCGAAGACTTATTTCAGAGTCTAACTTTGCTTCAAATTTCATTGTAATTCTACTTACCGATCAATAGATGATAGAACAATAAACCATGCATATAGTGCTCTATGAAAACAAAAAAAGAAATATGTTAATTGATAACGTACAATTTCATTCATTACCTATTCCACATAAAGAGCAATGTCAGAAGCTTACACACCGTCAATGATTCTACGTAAATATTGATTTTATATGCGGCTTGAAGAAATCGCAACAATACATTGATGGTAATAACACAGATACCGCTTATTGTTGCTGCCAAAAAATAACATGAACATGGATTCGAACGAAGTGATGAACGGGTGAAGACACACATGTTCAATGTATGGCCAATGAAACCAAGAACAATTATTAAATAACACCAAATATTTACAAACTTAATTGTAATTTCATTAATCTTAGCAACTTCATCGACATTTATATTTACTAAGGACATGTTTGCTGTCGAAGGATGATCGTTAATAATAAGAATATGATGCGAAGACTATTCTAGAAAAAATGCTCTCCATAATAACGACATATATTCATTCTACATTATATATATATATTCAAGTCTTTCGAATGCATAAGTTAATCAAAGATTTTTCCACATATCTTCTATTCATGAGGTCTTTGTAGAATCTATTATCTGATAGTAAGTAACTGCGTATTATATAATTCATTTCTTTTCCACCATTCCAGAAATTAATAGGAGAATGTGTTAAGGAGCTCCTTTCGACCTTTCTAAGATTTATTCATAATACTTGTTGATACAAAATGCGCAGAATTTAATTATATATTGTATGATAACAGAAATAACGTTTCGTAAATTCTCAATGAGGACATGACATACATAGAGGTACTTCCATTCGTTTCATTAAGCGCCTTTCTTCACTTTGTTCGTATCATAAATTCATTCAGGCAAAGAGCTTTGCTTTATACGGATGGGTAATGTAGTTGTCCCCAAAAAAATTTTTAAAACAATTCTATAAATATTATATAGGCGATCATAATGGGTTCTATAAAATATTAATGAGTATATGAATATATATGATAATGAACATATTTTCTCCAGAACTGAACATTAAAATCTATCAACAACTGTTATAATATGTAAACATATTCAATAAATAATAAATAATCTATATCTATATAGTTCGAATCCACTTACTTCTATTTTGATATGATTACATTTTTAAAAATTGCAAGTATTCTCGTAGGAACGCACTTGTCATAGAATAAATGAAGTATTTCAAAGTGATTTTATCATTTCTTATTGTTGACTTATGATCTTATCTCAGCTTTTTTCCTGATGTCTTATTTTTTAACGAAAATACTTTGAACAGTGATTGGTTTTGAACCAAAAATCCCATAGAAGTGAACATACAATTGTGCAAAAAGTCGATGATTGTACTTTTCATAACATTTGCAAAAGGGTCATATAAAATGATAGTACTTTATAGAACATTATACTGCAGAAGAAGAAAAAAAAGTACCCGGTAGGTTTCGAAGCTGACATGCAATTAAACTAGATCTCATATTCTCGCTCTCTTTTATATAACTAGGTAAAAAGAATCAGTTTGTCGGCAACAAGAAAGTAACAAAAACAAACTCTTTCTCTTTTCGATTTAAGTGATTTGCAAAATCAAGATTGTCAAAAACAAGAAAGCGACAAAAACAGAATGAATCGTATAATATATCCAAGTTGAAAGTCCGATCCGACTGATAGATGATTGCCGAAATCCAACCACTTCTAAGTTTTTCCATTAATGCCTAGTTATTGAATCCGATCTACTTAAATTGAACATGTTTTGTTAGAAATAACAGATTAGATACGATTTGATACTTAGAAATGAATGAATTCTACTACACAAACACTTAGCCTAGTAGCAAACTGGGAGTCCTGGCTTCGGTCATTCGCCGTACAAGAAATTCCGGACTCAGTCATTCACATAATAACAGTAGCAGTAGTCAGTAATGAAGAGTACTGATACATAATTAGTTTAGGAAGAGTATATATTTGAGAAGCCTCACCCTACTGAGTTTATTGAGGATGATTTATGTAATAATAACATGATAGGACGCAATAAGTTACGGCTTGAATTTCTCTTATATTCGAGTACAACAAAGATTTAACAGTTTGCCATATTGAGTTTTTTTCTTCTCATTGTGAAGTGGCGGACAGTTTGTTGCAAGAAGATTTGTTGTAGGGGAACTCGTTGCATTGACAATCTGTCACAAGATAATTCTTTGTAATGATATAGTCCAAACATAATTTATATCTATTTTTAAACAATGAAACAACTCATGCGATTAAGTTTGAAACATGTAATTCAATGACTATAAAAATTATTGGAAATATTACTAATGACTAAATTTCGATCTTTAATCTCGGTGTATCCCACTATAAAGAATTCTAGCAAGACAAAAAACTGAACCCCTTTCCTACTACATCACTAATGTGTATAAGATGTACAAAATCGTAGATTATGAGGTATCATCAAAACTGTTTTCTGGCATTGTACAAATCATCAATTGAAACTGACTAGTTTATTTTGAAATATATAAAATAACAAGTGATAGTCGTTAAACTAACAGAACTTGTACGTCAAACGCAAAGATTTAGAAACAGAAATTAATTAAAAGTTATTTATTTTTTTGATGACGTTAAAGCTACTTTTCTTCAGTGCACGTTAAGTTTTACTAGTTTTTTCAGAGTATTTTCCTATTGTTAAGAAGTCTAGAGCTGCAGCGCAAATTTGAAAACATGGTGCATTGTTACCTCTACTTGTATAGAAAAACTTTCCTCACTTGTAGAGATCGAATAAACTAACTTTTTATCGAAACAAGAAGATTATCGTATTGTTCGCTATCAAAAACCAAAGTTTAGTCATTAGTTATATTTCGAATAATTTTTATAGTCATTACATTATATGTTTCAAATTTAATTGATCAAGTCGCTTCATTGTTAAAAAATAGATATAAATTATGATTGATTATGTCATTGCGACGGATTCTCTTTAAATCAATTGTCCTCTAGTACTGATATTGAAAATCAACAATGCTAAGAACTATTGAAATACAAGCATACAAAGTTCGTGTAAATTTTTGTAAACATAATGAGATTGTTCTTTGTATGAATTATATATTTTCTTTTTCCACTTTCGTTATCTATTGCTTATATTTATACTGCATACAATATGTTGTGGTATACTTCATCTCTACGTGTACATGCTAGTCATTAGATTTATTCTCAACAGGAAATAAAAAGAAAAACGAGACGGTAAGATTTCAAATTTCATGGGCTTTATTATTAAGAAACTTCGTAGGGACTGAGTTTGAGGCACTACTCTTCGCCATAGATTACTAGTATGATTAAAAAAGAATTTTTACTGGATCGAAGATAATTAATAAAAGATATATGAACCAATGACTCAGTTCCTCGAGGTCAAGAATATGTAATCAGGACTAATTGTTGTTCATACTTTAGTGAAATAGTGAAGACAACAAACTTTAGCGAATTTTCAAAGTTTTCGTTTCTCATTAATTATTATGATTCCCAGTTGATCTTGTACTCCCTATATCTCCTTAAAGAAACTGTATTGTAAGCTGATTTTTTTTAGTGCGAGTAAAATTTTTCAAGCTATTCAAGGTCGAATAACTTCCGGTTGATTTAATCAACGTATATATTTTCGCAGTAGAAACTTCATGGACTATGCCAATAATGAAAGTATAGTCGCTGACACAAGTTTCAGAAAAATGAAGATCAGTTGAGAACCGTACGAGATATAGAGATTGACATCTTGCATACTTGTTGAGAACATTCTAGACTATATTTGAGTTACTTTAAACATAGAAGTCATTATTAAACTTAAAAGAAGGAAATTCGAATCTTTTAAAGATTTATGGAACAAACAGCCTGAAAATCTTAAGTTTTCAAGGCTTCAAATATGAATCGATAGAGTAACATTTGTTCTACAAGATGGTGAGAACTCCAGATCGCTAGCCACTATCATTTTCAAGTTATTCAAAAAATGACCACGATCACTTTTTGAAACAGGCAGTATACATTATGTTTCACATTTGAATCTTGTAGGAATTATGTCAGCAGCTCTTTATTGAGCTTTTCACTAAATGAAACCTGATTTTTAATCTGCTGAATATATAGAATGTGATCGCTCTTGTACTGGTTGCAATTGTGAGTATTTGAGATTTTACTGTTGTGCTAATCAGAGTCTTTTTACATGATTATTATGTGTAATACAACATTTATTAACGAATGAAAATGTGTGCTGTAACTTTGAGACGACACTTACGAGTAGAATAGTATGAAGAACTACTGAAAAACACGAACAGATAATATAACACATACACAAGTATCTCTTTTGACAGGTATATAAGAAAAGTTTTATTTATGATAGTACTTGTTGTTTGATTATTGTTCTAAAGCTCTACATTACAGATTGATGTATTAGGTTCTTCGTGATTGAGAGATGACAGTAGTTTCACGTATCGGTTGCCATTTACCAGGAAACCAATTAATGAGTTCCTTACGAAATAATTTACTTGACAGTGTGAATAGATAAAAACTCAGACATGGAACTGTAAGAGATACAAAACCAGTAATGCGTTGTAATAAGTTGTCTTTAGCTAATTGCAGAGCATCTATTGTGATATTTGATCTGAGTGATGTATAGAGATAGTCAACTGTAGAAAGAGATCCTGTAAAAATAAACACAATACACTGAACAAGCATCCTTGGAATCATTTGTCGGTCTATTGATTTTCGAAGCTGCTATTGTGGAACTTGCATATGATTAGTATTTAGTCCAACGCGTCTAATCGATTGATGAATATTTCGAACAGTACTTAATTCAAAGAAAAGCATGAACATCGATGAAACTAAACTGAATGCAACAAGGTGCCATGCACCAAAAAATTGTTGATATGTGCTTGGCATCGGAACACATGTTTGTTGTTGGATATTAATTCGAAAAAAGAAGAGTACATGAACGTATGCAAGACCAACAAGTAGAATTGTGAGAGGGATAGCACGATAAGCGACATGAAGACTACTTAATGCACGAAAACGAAGCATATGATGAGCTGCATAAAAACCTATAAGAAAAAAATGCATTTAAGATGATCAATTGACCTTAACATTTTTCAACAGTTTTGAGAATTCTATTCGTCCAATTGCAATTTTATCTGACCTAAGAGAATACTAATTTATAATTTAGCAAACTCTTATAACTCTTTTAAGAATATGTTGTTTACGAAAGCGATCTAATTTCTCATTAATAGTTACGCACTTAGTTCAGTGGTGATCAAGTTTACAGTCCAGAAATGAATTTGTTTGAACTGAAAGTCTAAAGATTTATAAGAGAGTATTTTTTAATATAGGATGTACTTTCTTAAGTATCATATATATTATGAACGATAAACGCATTATGAATATCATCTTCGTAGATTCTTCGTGTGGTCATCTGCTTCATCGTTAGTATCACCGTTGCATCTCTACACCAAATGTCTATAGTTAGTAGATAAAGTGAGAAACAAAGCTTTAAGAGGATGATTAACACAGAAAAAACAGTAAGAATACAAAACAAAAGCTTATGTGTAATATGAAATGCAAGAATATGAAAATAACATGATACTATGATAATCGAATTCATACATATATGATGTAATAGATAAAAAATGAAGAAAAATGCTGCTTATTTTGGAAAAAAACTCTCAAGTCTATTCATACGTAATTTCATGGCTCTTAGACTTTAATATAATAATGTTTGAAAACGACGAATTATTTCAGAATCTAACTTTGTTTCGAATTCAAGTATAATTCAACTTATCTATCAATAGATGTCAAAACAATAAACCATGCATACAGTGCTCTATGAAAACAAAAAAGAAATTATTTGATTGATTATGTACAATTTCATTCATTACTTATTACACATGAAAAGCAATGTCAGAATGTTACATGCTGTCAATGATTGTACAAAAATATTGATCTGATATACAATTTGAAGAAGTTGCAAGAATATATTGATACGAACAACACAGACGCTACTAACAGTTGCTGCCAAAAAGTAACATGAACATGGATTTGAACGAAGACACATATGCTCAATGTATGACCAATGAGACCGAGAACAATCATTAAATAGCATCAAATACTTACAAATTTAATTGCGATTTCATCGATTACAGCAATCTGACTAGCCTTATATTCACTGACGGCATGTTTACTGTTGAAAGATACTTGTTAACAAAAATAAAACGATTCGAAGACCATTCTAGAAAGAATCACTGTATAATAATAACATACATTCATTCTACATTATATATTCTATGTCATTCTAGTCTATGAGTTAATTAAAAATTTTCCGACATACTTTCTATTTATTAAGTCATTGAAGAGTCTATAATTTAGTGCTTTCTTGCTGTGTATTCTATAATTCATTTCTTTCCTGTGATTCCAGAGAATAATGAAAGAAGATGTTAAGAATCTTCTTTTGACCTGTCTAACATTTATTCATAATACTTATTAACACAATATACAATGAGCATGATTATATGTTATATGATTATTAAAATAGCATTTCGTAAACTGTTCATGTGATCGTGACATACATAGAGGAACTTTGAACCTTTTTCATTAAGCACACTTCTTCAGTTTGCTTGTATCAAAGTCTATCCAATCATTGAGCTTTGCTTTTTATGAATAGGCAATATAATTCTTTCCAAATTTTGTTTTTTAAACAATCACATAAGTATTATACTAAAAATGATAGTAAGTTTTATGAATTATTAATGACTCTATAAGAAGATGTGGATGCTTCAATGAACATATTTTCTACAAAGTTGAAAGTTTAAATCTATGAACAACTTTTATGATATTTAAACATGTTTAATAAATAATATATTATATTTATCTATGTAGAACAAAGTAAATCTAAGTATTTTTTTGTAAGCACTCTGTATGAATTGTCCAGTAGTTTAATAATTTGTTCAATCTTCAAATTAATATATCAATAACTAATATAGTCTGCTTCTTTAAAAAAATCTATGTAATCATTACACGAATAGTACTTGTATCAGTAGTCATTTTGATTTTTTTCAATGAAAACTTTTCTGATGTAAGTAAAGGAATAGTTCTCCATGTTGACTGATGATGAGCATTATCACTGAAAGGAACTTCGTATTATGTACAATGTGTATATATATATATACATATTTTCTTCTTTCCTTTTCTTTCCTTCGCTTTAAGGTATTTTCCACTCGTTCTGTTCTCTTGATACAGCCCAGGTAGCTTTTCTACTTTCACTGTGTATTCTTCCTAATCGCATGGAGTTTTTCCTATTTCATTCAAATATATATATATATGTGCATAGCTTTCATTTAGAAAGCGAAAGACTTGGTTTAGTATTGATGTGTTAGATCAATCACCTGTTAACAATATTAAATATATTTGTATTTAAACATGGCAACAGCTATAGAAATCGTGGAACTACTAACTTATGTGTTTGACGAGAAGATAAATACAAATGACACTGTAAATCATGGAAGAAAGAAAAGAGTCAAAAAAGAGACAATGAAATTGGGTACAAGAAATGGTGCTGAACAATGTTAAACAAGCTGAAGAAGCGATAATAAAAAGCGTGATTGGTGCAATAAACTTTTGTTAATTGTAAATATACTATTTTTATTGATATAGATTAATAAAATTGAACAAAAATAAATTAAATATTGAGTCTTAATAAAAAAAAAAAAAAGCGCTGAATATTCACTGTCGAACAGTGAACAATTCAATAGAAGCCATATCTATATAATTCTAACCCATTTCGTTTGAATTTGATAAGTATTAAAAAAAATCTGCAAGTATTTACTTGGAAAAGTATTTGTAATAGAATACATACTGTATTTAAACATGATTTTCTCATCACTTATTGTTAATTTAAGATAATGTCTCAGCTTTGTTTCTTGTGTCTGATCTTTTAACAGGAGTACTTTGCACTTTAATTGGCTTTGAACGAAAACACCCATACACGTTAAACCCTAAAAATTGTGAAGAGTTATAAAATTTTTTCGGTTACTAATTGTTGAAATATAAAAATTTACAATTTGAATATTCACATTTTCGGCTATTCATATCGATATTTGAGATAGACCAACGCCTTTTCTTGTCTCCGTTGCACTCACATGTAGTTATACATGTAGAATTTGAAGACTATTTACAGAATTTTAACTGTTAAAAGTTGCATAGAACACATTTTGACAGGAATTATTTCAATTGACCTAAAGTTCTACGAAATTTTATGCTCAAAAAGTGTATTTTTTAGCTCATCAATGATGAAAATAGTGCTGTGTTCGATCTTGTGATCAACCATAGTTATATCATCGTAGTAGAGAATAAGAAGTGCAGTCGAATGTTCGACTGTTATCAAATCAACTACGAGTAGTCAAAACTCATCGAAACAAAAATTTATACAAGTTTATCACACCACTTTCTGTACAGAATGTAGCCTGATAAAGCCCATCCTATTAGGATGTAATGAACAAAAGCTGGTCTGTCAATAGCTGTCTAATACAAGTTTTCAGACTCTATAAGAACAAAAAAAAAACACGTTTTTCGAAGTATCAGTTTTCACTATGAAAAACGAAACCATGGATATTCTGAACTATCAAGAGATTCAACGCTAAAATCATATGAAAAAGTATCTTGGTCGAGCATATTTTACAGATGAAAACCCATGTGTCTTCTTTCTGCCACTGAAATAGAAGCATCAACTACTCAGAAAAAAAAAGACTCAACGCCAGTAATACAACGTTTCATATGCTTTAAGCAGCCATTAATGGTCTAAAATCCATTTTTTAGAAATCATGTGCTAGAAATTTTTAAGCAAGTAAATGATTATATAGAAATGATATGAATTAATTTTAGTTTCTTATTTATTATATTAAATATCGTTTTGAATTAATGAATATTTTTTGTTTTTCGAATAGAAAATCATCAATTTAAAATTCGTCCATGTCAGATATTATTTATTAAGAAGAAGAAAACAAAATACTCGTTACACTTGTTTTGTTATAATACAGAGTAGAAACGTCGTGAACAAAGAAAATAATCTGCACCGGGATTTAACATTCTATTTAAATAATACAACAAAAGAGAAATATATATATTAAAAACTATTGTAATTTTGTCAATGTGCATGGATGAGACGATGCAACATGAAGAAAAAAAGGGGATTCACGATTTGGATCAAATGTTGCTGGACGAATCGTATATGTACCACCCGGTATATTATCAAGTGTTAAGACACAAAATCCTGATCGATATGCACCTGATTCTGTTTTATGAAATTCTCCAGGAGCATTGGAAACTTTAGTCTCGGTACATGTCACTTCAAATCCAACTTGAAATTGTTTTGGTGCACGTAATTCAATTTTAACTAGAAAGAAATTAAATATAAAAAATAATAATAATAATTGTGTTTGCCTAATAATTTGTACATACTATAATTATTTGCATCACGATTATTTAATACAAGTTGATAGAGTGGATTATTTTTATATGTTGAAGCATTATTTTGACAACCGCCAGCTGTTTTTTCTTTCCATTCACCAGTTATTTCTTGTTGATATCGTGGATTATAATAATCAGGTACTGGAGTCAAGGTAAATTGACATGTTGAATAAACACGTAACGAATAATATATGTCAACATTTTTTTCATATTGAGATACCTAAATAAAAGGGATATACTTTATATAGATCAACTTAAAATTTGTTAAACTTCTATGTCTTTCTGTTACGAAATAATTTCTCCTGGTCTTATCATGCACTCTTTGTTGGGATTTCTCCCATACCTTTTAATACGTCTACCTCAGATAAGGTAGACGTATTGAAAAGTATGGAGAGAATCCTAATCAACAATCTATGCTAAGACAAGAAAATGATCCATTATACTCAAAGTGGTACATATACCACGCCCGGCAACAAAGGATCAACTAATACAAAATCACTTTAGAATTTAAACTAACGTTTTAAGTTGTTTGAAAGCAGACAAGAGAATTTCAATATGAAAAAGAACTAGATTATTATTGTTGAATAAAATTCAGAGAAAAAAAT